GCCACCTTAGGTCTATGTGGCTGGTGCCTTAACCACTTGAGCCACAGGCGCCGAGCCCTGAGTGTGGATGTTGAGTGTGTTACTGGTGTTCTGGTTTAGGGACTTATCCTGGGCTGAGGCCAAGAGTGCTGGGGAGGTCTGGTGGCCTCAGGCTCTGCAGGAAGGAAGGCTGGTGCCTTCTGTTTCTGTCCTGGGAAGCCCTGCCATGCCCAGAGAGGACGTGCAGTCTGGAGGCCTCTACGTTCCAGGGCCTGCGGGGAGTGGGTGTCACGAGTCACCGCCACCACTCAGCCCTCTGAAGGCAGGTTCAGCCAGGATCCACCCAGGGCTGCTGCATATCTGGTTCTAAATAGCCTGAGCTTGGCCCTGGACATGGGTCCAGCCCATGAGGGCCCCTATCTCCATCCTAGACAGAGAGACTTTTTTTTTTTGAGACAGAGCCTCAAGGTGTCCCCCTGGGTAGAGTGCCGTGGCATCACAGCTCACAGCAACCTCCAACTCCTGGGCTCACGTGATTCTCCTGCCTCAGTCTCCCAAGTAGCTGGGACTATAGGCGCCTGCCACAATGCCCGGCTATTTTTTGGTTGCATCCATCATTGCTGTTTGGCGGGTCTGGGCTGGATTTGAACCTGCCAGCTCAGGTGTATGTGGCTGGCGCATTAGCTGGTTGAGGCACAGGCGCCAAGCCACTGTCTTAAATCTTAATTTCTGAATGAGAAACCACACCTGTGTATCCTGTGCTGGGCCCCAGAGCTTTCAGGTGCCCAGTCCTGTCAGGACAGGTATCGTGGGAGATCAGAACTCTCCCTGCTTGTTCACCTCCCCTTCCTGCCCCGTAGCACAGGCCCTGTAGCCTTCCACCTCCCAGAGCCCAGCGACCTGTGCAGCCAGATACCCAACATGCCTTTCAGGCCGGGATCCAGCCTCCTCAGTGGGGTCTGCCCTGCTTGGCGCCTCACCCCTCCTCTCACCAGCAGAGTGCCCCCAGCCTACTGGCTGGGCTGGGCCCTGCCCTATGGGAGGAGGGGTGTGGATGCTCTGGGCCCCGCCCCAGCTGTACCCGAGAAGTGAGCACAGAAACAAAAACTACTGTTGAACCTTTATTAGAAAAGAAACCAAAAAAACGGTGTGGGGCAAGCCTGGCCCTGAATGACCCCTTCACTGCGACATGGGCAGAGCCCAGTGTGTCCCAGAGTCAGGTGGGGTGTGGCTGACCGTGGAAAGGTTTACAAAGTCACCATTTCATAGAAAAAGATGCTGCCCAGCCCTGTAGATCGTGACCCCTCCACCTTTGCATGGCTAAGACAGGCCACCTCTCTGTCACCTCTGGGCTCCCACACAGTGGGAGGGTGCCACGAAGAGGAGGGCTAGGCAGGCCTGGGGTCTGGGTGGGTGATGTTGTCCCATGTAGGCCTCTGGCCTTGCTCAGGGTCCAGGCTGTGGGGTGTGCCAAGGCTGGCTGGTCCCCCCGGGTGTGGCTGTGGGGCTCCAGTGGCCCCTCAGATGTCCATGTAGTTGTCATCCTCGTCTGTCACCTGGGTGTGGCTCCAGTGGTCCCTCAGATGTCCATGTAGTCATCATCCTCATCTGTCTCACTCTCCAGTGAGGACTCCTGGCTGGATGTCTCCAGGACCTCCAGGGCTGGCTGGCACAGACTCTCTTTCCTCACAGTGGCAGCCGACTGGGCGGAAAGGATGGCTGACTGCAGACAGGGCAGGTAGGAGACTGGTCAGGGGCAGCTGGGACCCACCCTACGTTCCACTGCAACCTGCACCCCCTCCCGTGGACCCTACCCAGTACCCAAGGTTACCTTCAGCTTTTGCTTGGTCTCCTCTGAGATGCTGCCTTTGGGGGAGAGCAGGGTTGGGGTGGGTGGCGTGACGGTGATCTCAGGTGGGAACTTGGTGGCGGCAGAGGGGATGACCAGCTTTGGCATGTTGGGCAGGAGGCGTGACTTGGCCCAGCTGGGCTCTGCCTTGCCTGAGTGGCCCTCAGGTGCCTGGCCACTCCCACTGCAGGGGACCTTGGAGCTGGTAGCTGTGGGGAAAGATCTCAGGGGCTGAGTCTCACTCTAAGCCTCCTTCTTCCTCCTCCCCCTCCTACCTTTCCAGCTCAGGCTTCAGTTTCCCCTCTGGGAACAAAGCGACCAAGAGGAACTCCCGCAATCTGCGTCAGATCATGGGCGCCTTTTTTAGGACCCGTTTGGTCTGTGCTGATTGGCAGGGTCCCAGGCATCCATCCTGGATAACTGCTTGGCTCAGGCCCTGCAGGAACCCAACTCTGGCTCTGGATTGTGGGGTTCTGGGACTGTGATCCTATCCATGGGCACCATGAACTCTGGGTCCTGGGGCCTGGGATATGGGTACACCCCGCTCTGACCCTTCCCCAGGGGCCCTGAGGCACCATGCTCACACCAACCGTTGCATCTCTGCAACCATCCTAGGACATGTCCTATTAGTGACCACATCCCAGGGAGGACACTGAGGCCCAGACCCGCTTGTGCTCCAGCAGAGTGAGGGGCTGCATTTCCCTGGAGCCTGGAGGCAGTTGGGCCATGCAGGTTGCAGTCCTAGGGCATGGCAGCCTCCACAGGGCTGGAAGAGCTGGGAGGACCCAGATGGCCTGGCCAGTCTCCACATTCCTCTGCAGCCCCATAGCTTTAAAAGGAGCAGGGTTTACTCAGAGCCCATGCCTGGCCCCTAGTGGCTGGCACCAGGTCTGTCATCCTTAGTAGTCTGTAGGAGGCCCAGGCCAGGCACAATCTCCAAGGGGCCTGGCTGGTTACGGTAGCCAGTGGGAACAGGCCACACCCAGGGCTGGGGCTGGGATCTAACTCATCTGCTGGTGGGGACACCTGCCTGTCCTGGCCCAGGCCGGCCACCCTGTAGCTGCTGTTGATGCCCGTTACTGGGCCCAGCTGCTCCCAGTATGTGCCTGTCCCTCTCCTGCTGTACTCTAGGCTCAGCCTGGGCTCTGAAGTGGCTTGAGTGGCTCAGGGGGCACATCTCATTGCCTGACAATGGTCCCACTATTATATCAGCCTGGATTTGTCCTTGGACCTCCTGCCCCGTCCTCCCAGGCCAGGCACTTGGTGGGAAGCCTACCCTGGCAGTCAGGCGTGAGGTACCTTGTAGTGGCAGCTGCTGTCCTGCTCCCAACTCATCTTACCTTGGCTGCAGGTGGGCTCTGTGCCTGTCCGGGGAGCAGCCTCCGTGGGCCAGCAATGTGGCTCTGCTGGGGCACCTGTGGGGGCCGTCTTCCCCTGCTGACTGTGCCGTGGCTCCTGGAGTGGTGACCCAGCGCCGTCTGCTGCTCTCACCAGCTCTCCTCCCTCTGCAGGGACATGAGGCCCACTGCGGGTTACGTACTCACCCTTCCCAAGGGCTCCTGAGTCTGCCAGGTTCTGTGCCCTGGGACACCTGGCAGGGGAGGATGGCTGCGGCAGGGACCTGGGCTGAGGTGGCGTTCCCTTTCCACAGGAGTGGTCCGGGAACCAGCAGGCCCCCCCTGACAGCAGTGCAGCTGGGGCCAAGTGGTACAGATAGGAGACTGCTCACCATCCAAGTGGGTGCTGGTGCGGGCTGGCGCCCCACTCTGGATGGCTGCATACCTGACACAGTGGGGACCCCTATCCCTGGGCTTATGAGCTTGGCTTACGTCTGCTCTCCCCTCCAGCTCAAGCAAGTGGCAATCAGAAACCAGTTCAGGACCCAAACAACCCAACTAAAACTGCACTGGATGGAGGGGCATGATGGCACCATGGTTCCCTGCCAGGCCAGACCAGACCACACCTTCCTTTGCATGAGGCAGGGACCGGGAACTGGCCTCAGTTATGCCAAGGACTGGATGGGCCAGGAGCAAAGGCTGTGCCTGTGGCCACTGGCCAGGCTAGGCCGTTACTCAGCATCTACCCTGAGCTTCCCAGGCCCGGCTCCTCTCCCCAGTCTCCCCATAGTTCCCTGCCTGGCTTCCTCCCCACCCCCCTCCACTGCATTTTACGTCTCCAGGCCCTCCCACTGCCTTCCTGGCCCAGCCAGCCCGTCCAGCTCCTCTGCCAGGATGACCTCGCCCTCTCCAGCAGGAGCCAGCTCACCACTATGGCCTACAGGAGTGACCTGGTGATGGGCAGCCTCGGCCCAGCACACCAGGCAGAGGCCTGGGGGCCCAGCTGCTCTCCTGGGGCTCCTGCCTGCTGCCTTCCAGGTGCAGGCAGTCTGTCCTAGACTGGCCAAGGCCTTGTCTTGAGCCCCCACCCCTGTGGGCACACCCTCCCTTGCTTAGTGTCACTGCCTAGAATCCCAGTCACAGCCTCTTTGGTCCCAGGATCAGTCACAACAGCTTCAAATGGAAGTTTCTCAGCAGGCCCTCCCGCTGCCCTCCCAGCCACCCCTCCACCTCCTGCAAAAGGCTGGGCACACAGCCACTGGGCAGGCCCTCTGTGGGCCCTGAGGCCAGGCCTTTGCACTGGTGGCACTGCCCTGGCAGGATACTCCTCTCTGGTGGCTGCTCCCTGAGCGGGGCAGGAGCACAGGCCTCTCTTGCTGATGGCAATTTACAGGGTGGAATGTGGATGAGGTGGCAGGGGTACCCTGGCAGCCCTATGAGGAAGATGATGGGCAGGCCTGAAAGTAAGGGGATCTACCAGGGCGCCCAGCCTGCAGAGAAGGTAGGCCTTGGCCAGTCTGGACAGACCGCCTGGACCTGGAAGGCAGCAGGCAGGAGTCATTGGAGAGCCCTGGAGCCTCCCCACCACCCTCCCCATCTCAGGTTCTCCGTCTGCAGAAGTAGGTGGCCAGGCCAAAATCCTGCACCATGAAGACCAGTTTCCCTGTACCCCAGGGCAGCCTGTCCCTCAGATGAGATATCCTGGGAGGCCCCTAGGACTGGCTCTGCCTCTGCTTGGCTTCTTGGGACTACCTGTTTTGGTCCTGACTTGGGAGCAGGAGCACCCTCTCCACGTTCCCTATCATAGGAAGCCTGACTACTCAGAGAGGGGCCCCTCTCACTCTCACAGGGGCAGGTGCTGTTCTAGAGCTGAGAGGTTACTGTGTAATGAAGCCTGGCCTGTGAGGGGAGAACCCTGGAAAATGTGGAGACACACACATGCCTACAGAAAAAGCCAGCCCAGCTGTAGTGGATACACAGGTCCTGGCTGACCCTGAGTCCCCCAAGTACATCTGCCTCATGGGGCTGTGACCCGGTCAGTAGGGCCTGGACAGGTGGCTGAGCTCCTCACTAGGAACCAGGAACGTGAGAGCACCTTGTCCACCTGTGGCTGTTTCCCCAGGTGTGAGAGGCCCTGGTGGGAAGCCCGTCAGTCTCCTCTGCACCCACCCTCCCAGCACTTTCATTCCTCAGGGAGGTGTCCAGGGAGAATTCATCCTGTGATCTCTCCCAAACAGCTCAGCTATCACTCCGCCCCAACTCCCAGCCTCACGCCAGTCCTGGCTTCAGTCCCAGGTCTGCACACCTCCCTCTAGTCTCAGGGTGCCTTTGCAGGTGGGCCCTGCTGTCACCAAGAACTACTTAGAATGTGGCCACACCACTATGCTGGGGTCAGTTCCTTCCTGGTGCTTTCTCGGTTCTAGAGGTCCTTGTCCCAGCCAGGCCCTGCTACCACCCCAGCCAACTCTGAGAGCCATGTGGGACACCCACCCTGATGCAGCCGGCTAACCACTCCCTGCTTGAGGATCTGCAGCAGCCCTGAGGGGGGTGCACAGGGAGGAGGTGGCCAGGTGGTGGCGTGGGGTGTGCTGATGCCAGCGCCTGTCAGGAGGAGGCCTCTGCTAGGCCTGCACAGATGTTCTCAGTCAAGGGCAGCCCTCACCCCCAGTGCCATTCAAGAGAAAAAGACCATTTAAGTTAGTTTGGGGGAAGGAAACAAAAAGGATCCATTCTCCAAGCTACAGAATGCACAGCAGGGATGAGTGGTAGCTCACACCTGTAATCCCAGTACTTCGGGAGATGGAGGCGGGAGGATCACATAAAGCCAGGAGTTAAAGGCTCCAGTGAGTTGGAGAGCAGCAGCGTTGACCCCAGAAGCCAAGACCTGACCCTGAAGCCAGGCACAGTGGCTCATGCCTTTAATCCCAGCACTCTGGGAGGCTGAGGTAGGTGGACTGCCTGAGTTCACAGGTTCAAGACCAGCCTGAGATAGAGTGAGGTCATTGTGGCGGGTGCCTGTAGGCCCAGCTACTTGGGAGGCTGACGCAAGAAAACTGCTTGAGTCCATGAGTTTGAGGTTACTGTGCTCTAATGATGCCTCAACACTCTACAAAGGGTGACAAAGTGTGATCTTCTCTCTCTCAAAAAAAAAAAAAAGCAACTAAGTCGCTCTCTTGTGAAGATCAGAGAAAAGAGGGATCAGCTGCCACATTCTGGATTGTTCACTGGGGGGGCACAGGGTGACAGCGCGGGAAGATAGGAAGGCAAGGAGGCGGGTCTGAAAAGCAGGTGCAGGGTGGTGCCTGTGGCTCAAAGGAGTAGGGCGCCGGCCCCATTTACTAGAGGTGG